CTTAGTGTACAAAACAGCAAAACTTCTTTTCATAATAATAATATAGATCTTGTACCTTTAAAATAAACAATTGCCACATGCAAATATATCTAAAGACATTGGATGGAACAACAGATAATGTATTATTTTATCAAACTCAGTTCTTTTAATACAGCACTGCTAACCAACAAGGTATTATCCCACCCTTTAATAAATGAACGCCTGTAAGCTTCATACAATACACTTCTTAAAAATAAATAAACTATACATGATACAATCCAGCATTACAAGCAAATCTCAAATCATAAAATGAATTTAAAAACAATCTGATATAAAATCAAGTGTTGTTGATTTGCTCAACAGGAAAACCAAATTTTGATAATTTACTCACTTAACATGATGCAAGTTTTCTGTTACGTCATATATGAAGATTTTGAAGCAATCCAATACAGAAGTTAATAGCCCTCACTTGTACACATAGAATCACACGACTATGAATTTGTGTTAGTTGCTTTGCAATTAGCTTACACAATTTACCCTGTTGGCCATTACATACATAAAATATAACCAGACAATGACCAACTATATTTTTACCCATGTTTTACAAACATATTATGCGCATATTTCGACTATGTACTACAAGCAATCATTAAATGTACACTGTTATATATTCTATGGTGTCAAATCATATAAGACTTACTACATACTTTTTTACTATAAAAACACACGAAGGATATAGGGTTAGTTGTGTTTGCATTACCATGACAACCATGCACAACAATTCCAAATGTTTCATTGGATTACGTTAAAGACCAGCGTGTGAGAATAGAAAACTATGACCGCTGAATTTTTTCAAATTCTTAGTTTACACGAATAAATATCGTCAATGTTTTGATAACTAAAATTACATTCACTGCAATTCTGATTATAAATAACATGAACTAAAAAACACAAGCTAACTCTACCTTCATTGTTAGTTTGTATACAATGAGGCATACTATCATCATTTTAGCATTGTCATCATTGTTTGCATAGGAGTTTATCAGCAGTTCAGGTCTATATTGGTGTATTAAATACCAACAAAAACATGTAAACAATACAACTTTTAAATAGCATTATCTCATTTAGTAAATAGATATAAATTTTCCTCAGTCTGTTATCTTAAAATATTGGTTAAATCTGAACAAGCATTGAATAAACAATAAAATCAAGGATTTTAACTCCTGTCCCATTCACTGTGATGGACAGCTAGGAGCTCACTACGTACTATCAAGCTATTACAGAACGACACTAAAGCAAGCCTTGAATATCTATATCAAGTAAAGCCACCTGTCATTTTGATGCAAGCATCAAAGCCTAGCTACTGCTAAATTTGTTTATTAATTTATATAAATTTATTTTCAGGTGAGACCTGAATACCAATGAACATGCAAGATGATAACACATGGTTCCATATAAGATACACCTCCCAACCTCCACAGAAATAATTAATAATTACCTTTGTTTTGTAAAACACTGTGGTATATTCGATGAGAGTGATATATAAATGACTGCATATTATTAATATTATTATTATTAATAACATTCCTTTTTATTTCAAAAATAATAAATTTTGCTCATGAGTAAGGCAACACACACATGAAAGGGTTAGTGGTGTGTTCTGCTAATAAAAAGATTTTCTATCTGTAAAGCTAGGCTTATGTCGCACTTGTGACTCGACTCAACTGTAGGTCAGTGGCGGTTCTGTCGATTTTAACCAGCAATTGCACAAGTACAAGCAACTAGTTGCCCAGAGGGCTTGTGTTGCTTCTGACTGTAAATCATCTCCAACTAGTTGCCATGCATTACCATCATATTTGGTGAAATTTTAGCATGAGAGACATACTACTGTCACATGACCGTGCAATCTATCAAAGCTCATGTCGCCTCGAATCGCCTGACTCACAGTTGCTTCTATAGTAGTTGCTGGCAAGTTTCAACAGTTGATGAGTTGATGCCAGTTTAGGTGGAGTAGCAAGGGTGATATAAGCTAAGTTAAGCTAATGGTAAAACATTTAACATACCGAAATATGATGAAAAAACTGATCAAATCCACTGATGTTGTAGCACCGTTTGCAGTACTTATTGTACTTCACTAATTGCCCAATACACTGTTAACATTCTAACAAAAGCAAAATACATTTTTTATCAGCAGATGCTAAACCACTCAACCTTTCTGTACACAAACCAATCTGTTTCAGTGGTTCCAAATAACACCATGCCTATACACAATACTAACATAATTAAATATAAAAAATAAGGTATAACAAAATAACAGATAGCCATTAATACTTCAAACTAATCAATGAACAATATAGCATATCTTAGTGTTTATCTTCCTTTTAAAAATAGTTTTATTAACTATTCAACAGATCGTAAGCAACAGTAAATAAATTCAAAAAATAAGGTAAACAGATAGCCATTAATACTTCAAACTAATCAATGAACAATATAGCGTATCTTAGTGTTAATCTTCCTTTTTAAAATAGTTTTAACTATTCAACAGATCGTAAGCAACAGTAAATAAATTCAGCAAACTCAAACTAAATATGCAATATATTAATTACAAATCAATCATATTTTTAATGTACTTATTTTTAATGTACTTTCAACAAAATTTTCCTATCTTCAAGCAGGGAAAATGCATGCATATTGCCGGTGCATCTATTGACCAAGGGACTAGTAACAAAAAGAAGCAACATGAAATAAATGTAGAATCTCTCAGCATCTCATGGTTGAGGGGAATTTTATAATCTTTGGAAACCTACAGAGAAGATCACATAGTATTAAAGCATTTGAAGCAGTCTGAAAGAAATTATTACGGGCACTTTTTGGAAACTGGTGATCCTTAGGAGCCATTATTGCCTGAAGAGAACTTAAAAGGAAATAATGGCTCCTTCAGGCCACTATTTTCTATTACACATATGCATTCTTTTTAAAAAGCAGAACTTGACATTTGTATTATTCTCCTCATTGAAAATACAAATTAATGTAAATTAGCAGTTTCAATAGTTTTTAAAACAAAAGTACTGTAATTAAGAAATAAAACTTCCTAAGTACAACCTTTAAAATATTCAGCCACAGTAACAGTCCAAAGAATGTGTGTGTGTGTGTGTGTATATATATGGGCTGATTGAGACAACACTACCCTAGGAAGTCTGGGGGATGTCCCAGCAAAATTTGTGTTTTGTAGATGCCCGAAAATAATCTTTGAGGCATTTTGGGTGAGCAACTATTTCTTTTTCTTTCTTTCTTCTTTTATTTTTACTTTCCAAAATAGGGGCTGTGACCCGCACTCTAAATCCATCCCTGGTATCATTCATCAATGAATGACCTCAATAAATAAAACAAAAACCAAACTTATGATTTCTCAATCCAAAATCAGTATAACTGTTTTTTACATTGACATTGTGATTGTACCACTTTAAAAAAAAACAAAAAACAGTTTTACACAGTGTTTTACACACAGTATGAATACAGAAAGCATTAGCAGTATACGAAATGAATATAATGTACAGTATAAAAAAAATGATATTAGGAACAAAATTGATTGCCAGTATTCACTTTAATCACTATAAAGTCATTATTTTTTGTTTATCAATGATAAAGAAATGAAAAGTAATATTTTATTTTGTTTGGATTTTTTTTCATTCTAATGCCTGCTTCTTAGTAAAAAAAAAAAAAAATTCATGATCAAGCTACAAATTACTAAATAGATACATATATTCAATATTTAGTATACTCATCAAGATTTACTGACGTAGATCTCCCAAAATAAAAGAGCCATATATCATACAGTAATACATTATAGAGTAAGCCACACATCACGTTTTACTTTTCTCAAAAGAAAATAAAAATCTGATATATCATAATATATGATATGTGTAAGCAACACATCAAGTTTTACTTCTCTCAAAAAGAATATACAAATCTGATATATCATAATATTAATACACTATGTGTAAGCCAAATCAGACTGCAGTAAGCTGCCCTCACACCACAGAACAAACATTTGGAGCAAAGCACTACAATCAACACTATTCAGTGACATGTGCAACAGCCTAGCTAAGTATTCTCTGATAGTTAGAAGATATTGATTAGTATCATGCTACCAGGAAATTATGCATTCTAAGCCTATGGGTGTGGAATGGTTGAAACCCTTAATGCAACATAAGGCACTAACTTTTTTGGCTCATCAACATCAACATTGATGTAAAAAGAAATGCCATTTTGGCACTTAAGAGATAAATACAAGCCTAATCTGAAATTCCTAGGGACAGGCTTGTGTCAAAAGAGTAAAGCCAAGCATTTCAAATTTGCAGAAACCTCAGAATCTTCAATTGTACTGTAAATCATGTTCTTCCATTAAATCCCAAGCCTTATAACCAAGAATTCTATGTCGTGTATTTTCTTCTGTAAAGTAGCATTTCAGATGTTTTTGCATTACATGATATACTATCTGTGGTAAAATCTGAAAAAGCCTTTTCCATAATTCCATCAAAACAATATCATAGTTTATTTAATAAGGATCATAAACTATTGGAAAGCCTTCAATCATACTTCTCAAGTTAAGGAGTATGCTTTAGACCAGTAGCTCAAACTTGTTTATTTGTACATTTGAACATAATTTAACTTAAGCCTTGGTAAATGTTCCTAAATAAACCCTAGTAATTTTGACCAATTGAATTTGAAATGGAGTGAAAGAAATAGATGGAAAACATGAACGTTTTGCATAGAGAATTATACACATGAGCATAGCATCGTTGCATTAACACGGACCTGGGGATTGATACAACCAATGTTCCTCTGGCCAATTGGTTGTCATATTGAAAAGAAACATCTTACTCTACAATTTTTAGTTTGCCTAACAGTTTAAAACATTTAATGCAGAAATTTCAACAAACTGACTTTGGGACCAGTGGCGGCGCCAGCGTCTGAAATCTGGGGGAGGGGGGGAAAGTGCTGTCTCTTATACAGGGAAAGTGAGGGGGAAAGGTAAAATTTTAGGGGAGCCAATATGCTGGGTGGGCTGAAGTGGGCGTGGTCGGATGTCGCTAAAAATGTCGGAAAAAGTGGTCCAGGGGGTGAGGCCACCGAAATATATGATAAATTAGGGGTTTGAAAGGCTTATTTTATCGATTTTATAGATAGATAGTCTACTAATATAAAAAAAATACGTAACATTATTTTTCTCCTCGTCGAATTGTGGTTTTTGTTTTTTTGTGGGGGGGGGGGGAATTCTGCCTGCCTCTCCGCTGGCACCGCCATTGTTTGGGATGGTAATTAAGCTGAATGCAAGCTGAATGTGTACCTCTAAATCAACAACAATCCCTTCAGTAAGCGCTGGTTGTGGCGAGTCTCGCAGTAGGAAAGACCTCTCAAACTCTTCATAATTTTAATGAATCTATATTCAAAATGTATACAATGTTATAAAAAGCATTTTTCTTGCTAACCATTTTCGAAACAATTTAATGCATTAGAATAGGACTTCGTTGATTGTAATCGTACCCATGGCCTATCCAAGATTATTGTACTGCAACGTCATAGCTCTTAATCAATTTGGTCTATTATTTGCGCATCTCTTTAGTGGTGATAAATTGAAAGCTAATAAATTAATTACATAAGAAACTGAACTATTAATTATTTTTTGCTTCAGTTGATTAGCTTAATACAGACAGTATATAAAAGATAGGATGTGTAAATCTCTGTACACAATTTCAAGTTGTATGTGACAAACACCTATGGGTGTGATATGACATCATCATGCCTATGTATGGCCAAATCGTATCTATTTTTCCCGTAAAACTGAGAAAAATGAGAATGTGTATAAAGCAAAAGATGTGACATGCATTTATAACCATCTGTACCTAAGGCATTTGTGTTTCCTAGAAACATGTATTTCCAAAATATTCTTCAACTGCTAACTTAAACACACACATATTACAAAACACACCAATGTTGAAATTATTACTGAAAAGATTAAAATAAATACAAAAACTTACACACAGTTGCCACAAACATATTGGTACCGGTACACAACAATTCACAAATATCTAAAAATAAGGAAATCAATCTACAAAATGAAACATACTGTACATACTATATGAAATAATTTGTAATCATGAGAAAAAAAATACAGATAGATAACCACATCTCAAAAATATTAACGTAGAATCACCTTTCTATTTCTCCTGTTGATGGTTAAAAAAAGGGGAAGCGATAACATCTTTTTAGACTGTAGTTTAGACAGAAAATGTGTTGGGAAACAATGGTAATTTGTCACAATTCAACTTTCTTTTACATTAGATAATAAATAAAAATAAATATCTTTTTTGATGTTGACAGATTTTTGTTTACAGGCTTAAATACCTATTTGAATATATTTGTACAGGACCTATTCCACTTGAAATGAAGGGGCATTATAGACTTTTCAAGTTCTTACTCTGATGCTCAAATAAAAGGATCAATATGTCAAGAATTATATATGTCAGTTCCAACAACAGAGAATTATCATTTTATAAAATGTATTTATCATTAAAATTCATTGTTAAGAAGGGTCAACCCAAGCAATGTCCAACAATGCTTTTCATTCGGCCCTCAAACAATAACAGCATCATAAATCTGTAATGCGAGTTTGAACAATAATTTAACTCTTGTGCATGTCGTAAGACACAAGCATGTTCTTACTGAAGACAAAATAAAGGCATTGCCTGATGGCACTATATAACATTTCACTTGCAATATATTTACAAAGTGTTTCAATATATTTGCTAGTAGTAGGTTTTAAATATCAATCCCATAAAAATAAATAAGCAATTAAACACCACAAGCTTTGAACAGTGACACGATTATAACAAAATCTTTGTATATTGTTAATTGTGACAGTTGCAATATCATAACCTTATTGGTGATGTCACTGCTTTGGGCTTCAGCTTCTACTTACAAACTAAATGAATCAGGAAGGAGTAAAGAAACATTCAAAGCTATTCTGTCTTTTTTGCCCACTTAAGGTCATCCGATCGTGGTTTGTAACCAGTTAACTGTTCCAGTAGCCACTCAGATCTGCTCCAAAATTTTATATATTCTAACGGTCCATTGAGCCAACCGGTGGTAATGCAGAAATACGTTTCGTGCGGTGACACATGGTGTATTCGGTGGTGCTTTTTTGGCAGGATGATATGCCATCTTTGGAGGAACTCCACCCACGGCGGTAAGCCAAAGTAGGTATGCGACCATTTGTGAATCTGATTGGTAAGAGTGATAAATATACAAAGAAGAAAGAGGAAGCATTCCCAGCTATAAACTTCACGGATCCGTTCTTCAGTGTAAATACAAAATGTGAATGCCTGCCAAGCCAATAAGGGAATGACCATCATGCAGTTGTCCCCATTAGTCTCGATGTAATCATGGCGAGTAATTGCAGTCGGATCAATATGATGTTCTCGGAACGGACGTATAAAATTCTGAAAAAAACCAAAAAACTTATTTTCAATGAGGTTAATCTCTCATTTCTCAAGGTAAGATCCATTACAAACATATGGCAAGAAGGCAAATACTCATAAGATAGTGTCTGCAATACATTGTAATGGATGGATCAATCAACATCATAGTGTTGTTCCTATTGTATATCTTGAGGACAAAATTAAAGGATTCTAACAAAAATGACATGAATAAAACTTCAGTTTTAAGTAATCTCTCCATTACGATAATCAGTGAAACAATGTTTGGTTTACTCTACCAACTGATCTAATTAGGCCCTTGGATTAAGAATACACGAATAGTAAAGAGGGTTGCTCGGCAACTACTGTTAAAAAAAATGGATCAAATCTCTGCATATTACAGCAGAATCAATATTAAAAATCAAAGGTGAAAAACATCCCTAAAACGGGCCTTTTCAAACCATTGGCAAATTACTGTACAGTATGACTCAAATGTAAACACAAAATATTGACTAATCTTTATAAACAATTTATACAATGGAGATTTTAAAATTACAGAGGTAAAAGGCGATGTTATAATTAACAATAGGTCTTATGTAAACTGTAATTTGTTTAAATCTATATACATAATTGAATAAATATTTTCAAACGTTCGATGATGAAAAAAAAAACTTACCCGTCCAAGTATTGGAAGTTCTATAGATCCCCATGAGTCTGCGCTCCAGTGAACCAAGCCTGAGAGGAAATCAGCTACAACCACACCAGATACTGCAAAACATGTAAACATGTTATTCAATTAACTGATAACTAAAAATGCTCCTTTTATGCTGCGCAGTATTAGAAGCATATTCTCCTCAAGGTGTGATTTTTCTCCGAGAATTGATAAGTACTCTAGGATTTTGAATCAAATCAAATAAAATCTTTCTTTATTCTGGAAGTACTCTTTCAATACATAAGTAATGGTCTCCCAAGAGGTCCAGACACAACATAAAATAAATAACAAATAAATATATATAAAAATCAAGAAAGGAGGTAACTAAATACAATTCTTAAATGTTCTTAAAGTAAGGGTGTCAAATTTGCAGCGGATATCTAATGGGAGCTCATTCCATAATTTACATGCCCTGTAAAGGTAAGTTCTTTTTCCTTGCATATTGTTCCAGATTGGGATAATTAGAGTATTTGAAGATTGATTTCGTGTATTTTTGGAATGGACAGCATTAGTAAATTTAAATTTAGAAGAAATGTATTCAGGAGTTATACATTTTAGGGATTTAAATGTCATAATTAAAATGTTTATCCCACTTATCTTTAATCATATTCCAATCCATTGTGTCCATCAAAACCTTTACTGGAGTCATAAACCAATCAGACTTACCAAACTTCAGTTATACTGTATCATGGTAACAAACACTTTACTACAACAGCGACGACAGCAACTTTAAAAATATTACAATTTCACTTAAATTAAATTCTTTAAAGGGAAATTATGATCGTATTTAGCCTAAATCTTGTGATTAGTGAAATATTAATAACAAAATGAGCACTTAGCATATTCACACTTGTGCCAAAAACAATAGGCTCTATCTTCTTATTACCATCTTGCATTCTACCAAGTTCGAAACCAATCAGACTTTCCAACACTGAATTATACAGTAACTAGTGTAGGTTTCCTGATTAGTAAAATATTAATTATGCAAATGAGCAATTTGCATATCCAAACTCATACCAAAAACAATAGACTTGGTCTTCTTATTACCATCTTGCATTTTGCCATGTTTGAAACCAATCAGACTTACAAAACTTACTGTATTGTGGTAACTATTGTACATGGTTGGAATTTCCTCAATATGTTCCATCAGCAAATAGTTACTGTGGGCTATGATTTTACTACATCAATTTATTCTTCTACAGCAACAAGCTTCATAATTTTTTTTTAAAGAATAGGCCTATTTCATAAATGTACAGTAAGTGTATCCATTACTGGGTCATGTGAATCAACAGCAAAAGCTTGCTGTCGAGCCTGGGATTTACAACAGCAGTGGAAGGCCCTTTCTACAGCAATTAGGGAAATTCAAACCCTAAACCTAAAAATAGACCTGATTAGTGAAATATTAATTATTCAAATGAGCAATTAGCATATTCACACACATACCAAAAAACAATAGGCTCTGTCTTATTATTACCATCTTGCATTCGCCAAATTTCAAACCAATAAGATTTAACCTTTAGCTATTGTGGGAACTGGCCTAAATTAACTGATTAGTGAAATATCAATTATGCAAACAATGATCATATTCGTAAGTTAAAAAAACAATAGGCTCCGTCTGCTTAATACCATCTTGATTTTGCCAAGTTTGAAACCAATTGGACTTACCAAACTTTATTTATCCTGGTAACAACCAAATGACCAATGATGAAAACGACATGAAGAAAAACACAGGCAAAAACAATAGCCTCTAAGAAGCTTCACTTCTTTGGGGAGTCTAATAATTATAGTTTGTTCAGAAAGTATACATGCCTATTGCTGTGCTGATGAAATTTAAGAGCTATTAAATCTCTTTGATTAAGAGTGTTATTAGAAAAATTTATAGAAAAGCTTGCATTGTCGCAGTGAATCTCTGCTAAGTGAATGAGAGATACTGTACATTGTAGGTATTTTAACTCTTAGATTGAATTGTAGAGGAAAGAAGTGTTCCAAATCTACTGTAAGACTAAACTGTTTGACTCTGCAATATACTTATTTTAATATAGTCTATTGGGAGATACAGTATTTTCGAAAACAAAAATTATGCAATCAAGTTTTGGAATTATTTTGTTTTGGTTGAGATAAATATTAACTAGCCAAAGAGTACATAGGCTTGGTCCTGTCCTTAATAAAAATATTATTATATGTAATATATTTATACAAATTTGTCTAAAACCTTGAAAAAACCATGAAAATACTGCTACATTGAGTATTCATGAACATAATATGATAAGTGCTAAAAAACAAGCCATTTTCAGTTCATGGTAACAAAAATAGAATTCTACAGCAAAGAGCATCACTAAAACAAAAACAGGCATGTGTATTATAATTACACTGTACTTCATTAGATACCGTCACAAAAACACACATATCTACACTTCAAAACGAACGCGATAATAATGTTTAGCTGCTCTCCTCTGGAAAACATCCGGCTCTTGTAGGATTTTAAATCTGTTGAATGTTTTTTTCCTCGTACTACAAACATAGCCCTACCCTAAACAACCAACTACGCAATTCAACCAAATCCAACAAGAGTGATAATTTTGGAGCCATCAACTTGTAAATTTATATTTATATCTAAAATTTACAAAAAAAAATTTCGCTTTAATTCAAAACTTACAATCTGCTGAAGATTATGAAAACAATAGGCCTACTGTAAGCATAACCATCACATAAAGCTATTTTCATCCATGTACTTGGCTATTATTTTATCATACTATAGGCTTTAAGCCTTATAGAATTCCCGTTCCTTTTTGTTTTGCTTTTTGTGATCAGCTTAGTGGGAATCATGGTTATTAGCAACATCTAAATTAAAGAATACTAAAAACAAGTTTACAGGCAAGCACTGTTGAGGACCTTGTAATAAATATTTATATTTACAAGTTTTATGCTGGTGATTGGATGTTAGAATGCCACAAAAATAAGTAAACTAAACAATCCTATATCAAATAGCGATTATATAAAAACTTGAATGGGGGACCATAGCATACAAAAGAAATATGGGCCAAGGTCAGCATTGTTCAGTGGCACATTGTGGACTGATTCATCGTGCAGACATGATGCATCTCCATCTATACCAGTCATGCAATATGTTTAAAGGGCCCCTACTCAACAGTGATTAAGTTTACATTTAGGGTGTTCCTACCTCATGTTCTTTTGTGCTTATTATTTGCTGTTTCTGTTTTTGTAAATTTTAATGTTTTGAGACAAATAAATGCACAGTTCATGGTGCTGATGGATCAGCCTTACTGTGTAGGCCTACCATGGAATTATAAAATATAAACACAGTATAAATAATTAAAACAAATGTATACGTTCCCAAACCAAAGACTAATTACGAAAAAAGAAGTATTTTATATTGTGGTGCTATCGAATGGAATAAATTAAGATGATGTACTGTACTGCAGTCTTCCACCAATTTAAGTATTTTCAAGAAACACATTTGTATCAATAATTTACGAAACCAAAGTATAACAGTAAACATTGTATAAATCATTAATTTGCTGTTTTCTTGCTTTGTTTTATTTATATTTTACATTTATTTTTTGTAACTTACTGTTTACTTAATAGTGGAGTGGATTTTCTTCACTTCCATAATTTATTTTGCCACTGTTAGGTATAGATTATTTTAATTTTACTAAATTGTTGACTTTTGTGTACTGTATAATAATTATGTTTTGTATCTATATTATTTAATTTCTGTGTTTAACTTCTGTTTTCTTATGATGTACCGTAATGTGTAAATAAAATTTTACTACTACTACTACTACTTGGAAAAATAAGTGTTTAGTATATATTATTAACACATGAACAAAAAAAAGCCAGTGAAGTTGAAACTTGAATTACTTACATGCAGCAGCAAAGGGAGCAGCCCAATTTTCAATACTAAAGTGGTAAATCAGCTGGAAAATATTGAAGATGGCTAAGAACACAGAGGAGTATACACACACCACCTCTTGGGTACGCTTTCCTGAAGAGAGAAGAAAACATTTTTTTATTGTGTTGTTTTATTCCATTGGAATCACAAGGCCAAGATTAAACTAGATTTGAACTCATCACTGAGGACAAGTTAGGTGATCCGCCGCACTTTGACCCTCGAAGAATTGTGCGTGGTGCGGATTGAACAATTTTTAAATGCTGAAAATAGCCTAAAGTACATGCTAATTCAGTTTTAAAAACAAATAATTTGGAGCATTTTGAAAGATTTACTTACGCATACGTGCACGTCATGATGCACGTGCGCATGGTAATGTCCCAAAATTTTCACTCCTGATATGAGATATATGTATCAACTCTCATTGACAAACGCCTGTTGGTGAGGGACTTATCATTCATGATATTTACCATATATAAAAATCCAGTTTTTTTAATTCAGATGGCAATATGATGATGTCACAATGTCCGATCAGCCATAATGATCTATAAAATCATATCTAAAACTCATGTGCTTTCAGAATATGTAATAAAAATTGGGGGTCACCTTTCATCCTAAGGAGCTATAACAGATTAAAAATAAGCCTGATTTTAGCATTATTTCCACTGTATGTCGGCACAAACGCGCACAAGGATTCCTATGTTTGATACGCGCATACGGCATTGCTATTGGCCCTAAGATGAATGAAAAGAATGGAAATTTGTCTATACAATGTCAGGAACCCAAAATATGTAAAAAAAACCCCCGTAATTTCCAACAACTGTACGTGCCGCGTGCGTAGTGGAAAATATCAACAAATTTTGAAATGCTCAAAATGGCCTGAAACGTGCTCTAATTTAGTAAAAAAGTGATTTAGCACATTTTAAAATTTTGATGCACACGTCATGACGCGCATGCGAAATATTTCAGTACGTGACATTAAAGCTTGACCTGAAGTTTATGTCCACTGAATATGATTCCGGAATGAAAATTGGTTAGGATATGATCAATAATGTAAAAACGCAAAATTGCACATGGATGACGTCACGCATGAATAAGCACATTGAAAAGCTTATTGTGACTATTCCACGCCAAGCCAAATGTTTGTTGAAACATGCATGTGCGCAACTCGCGGCAAATTGAAGACATATCGTGCGCACAAAAATGAAAGGAAAGTAGAATTTAAAAAAAAGGGAAGGAAAGTAGAATAAAAAAAAAAGATGATGATGAAGTAAGAAGAAATCTGACAATAAAAAGAGGTGATCCGCACTAGATGCGGATCACCAAAAATGCATTTCAAATATCAGTGGCAGTTTCATTTAGTGGATAAACACGGCATTAAGTGTTTACAGCACACTTTTCATAGAAACCTGTACACAAAGTCTGCATGGAGTCTCCATGAAACACTTATCAATGGATTTTGTTATGCATAAAAAAAATGATATTATCTGAGACAGACAGTTAAGGTTATGAAAAGTTATTGTACTTCAATCAAACATGGAATATATCCCTCCATAGTACAAAACATCACTTATCTAGTAGGAAAACCTTTTTCACATTTCACTTTTTTTTATATTCACTTTTTTTTTTTATAAGAAAAAGTAAAATTTTTCTCAGGCTCTATGTATGTCAGTTTTTGGCCGATTTCAGGCTCAAAATTTCCTTATTTTGTTCTTATTTACACTTTTCGAAGATAGTAAATTATTCTTGTACATCAGTATATTACTGTACTGTATTATAGAGGGCATTACAAAGTCACACCTACTGTGCATCATGTACAGATAAGATTTGTTGTTGTTTTTTTCTATTAAAAAAAAAAGAAACTTCATTTGACATTTTAGTTCAGCCTCAATTTGTTCTTATTTTTTAAAGCATTTTCTGACAGCCTCAGTATTCTACAATTAATCAAAATATATGAGAGAATAATTATTTACTTTACCAGAATATTAAATATTTGATAAAATAAATAGATAGGCTATTGGAATCTTTTGTTGTCACCAGTATTACCGTACTGTAATTAACATTATTTGATGGCAAAATTATTCAATGTTTCATTTGTATAAATCACTTTTGAGTCAGGATTTGATTAAGGTAGTACGGTGTTAGTATTAGTACAAGGTAGTAGTGACAAAGGTAATTATTTCATGAAAATACCATACAACTTAAAAAATGTATTTTAAAAATTAAGTACAAACATGTGACATTTTTGTGCTAATAGTTTAGTCCGAAATGTACTGGTAGTTTCCTAGCTCCTATGAATAGATTCTCCATTGCAGATAGAATCAATCCAAAGAGGGCAGCATTGTCAAAACAAGTGGGATACTTAGCCTCACTATTTTTTAATTTAAAAAATTATTTTATTGTTTTTTTAAGAGGATTTCATGGTTGAAAAATGTTTTTAGTAGTCTGATTGTTTTATAGTATTAATTCCCAAAATTTGAGGCATCCATTTTAAAAGAAGCTCCTCTCTTTACTTTGCAAAAATAGTTTTGAAACAAAGCCCATCTCGAAAAAAAGAACATCAAAAAGTCCTAGAAAAAAAAGCCCAGGGCCTCTATTTGAGGTTTTACGGTGTCGTTGTAGTATGTATTCATTATCAGGAATGAGCTCAATTGAGGTAGGGTGGTGGAGTGTGCATGTGTCAGAATCTGTGTCTTTTTGTTACTGTACAGTATATCCCCCAGAGGATAAAGCTGCAAATTGTATACTGAATTTTGGCACAATTAAAGCCACTTTCATAAAAATGGGCTGGCAATATTGCAGTAACAATGCCAGATTGCTTACCGACATGCAATCTTTCATGCCTAACAAATCAAGGTCGAACCCAAAAAAAAAATAAATAAATAAATAAAAAATTTTCAAAGATCCACATTTTTTCCAGACATTTTTGCCTAGGGCCTTTTCACAATGACATAAATGAAAAAGCACTGATGAGGTACCAGCAATCAGTCCAAAGACCTTGCCAATTCCAAGACGTAATCTATCTCAATTCCAGCAATTCTGAAACTGAGCCTGCCATCCGCTTGGTGGTGCTGTAATCAATTTTCCTGTCTCCCACTGAAAAGGTCCAAAAGAATTATGATTACGACCCACCCGGAAGAAACATAAGCTAAAACACAGTTTGTGTCCAACAACGGAACAGGTACAGCGCGCAGTATGAGATTTTCATTTTCAGAAAGAGGCACAAACTTCACTCTAAGTGAAAACAACGTACAGTATGCTGTTTATTCTGATTGTTTTCGTGAACAGACACAAACTGTTCACGCTAATTAACAGGTTAATTAAAGTTAAGAAAAGAAAAATAAATTTAACATGTGAAATTTTTTATGCTTTATCTTTAAACATACGTAAAAAAATATGCTTTATCTTTAAACTTACGTAAAAAAATATTTACCATTTTGATATCTTGATAGTGAAATCTACGGTTTTATGAAGTATTCGACTTCAAACATGTTTTTCTCAAGATGCAGTTTTGGTCGAAATTGAAGTTTGTCTCTCTTTGTGAAAAAGATGATGAAATATTTTAGTGATACTGCCGTAATCTACAGTAACACATTTCTGTATGAATGGTTACATATGCTGGTATGGCATTGGTGTATAAATAAGGATTTCACTTTGATTATCACATGATTTGATGTAGGCCTACTGTAAGCCCCAAATAATACCACGTAAATGAGCTATAGGACAATATTTCATTATTGTGATATTGTGTTAGTAAATTCCTGAACTAATTATCCTGACAATTATCAAATTTCTTCTTCTCCTCTGAATGGAGGTGTGGTGAACTGTTTTGTATAAAATATTTCAAATTAGCATAGATATTGAAATATTTACATATATATTTTATTCTTACCTGTAAGCAAGTGGTGATTTATTGCTGTTTGAAGAATTAAATAATAACATAACCAGAACCCTGCGGACGTCAACGTTCCTATGTATGATGCATGTTTTATTTTCAGACAATATGAGGTTGGATGGCTTTTGTGTTGTGGTGGTTTACCCTGAGAAGTTAATTCTTTGCATTTGAATATTGGGAAAATGAATACTATACTTACACATCAGGTATAGGCCTAAATAAATGCTTCGCTATCTCCCCACCACCCTTGGCAGGAGGTGATATTATACACGCCTCCAGCAGCATGCAGCAGCCTAGCCTGTTGTCTCCTCTGGCGGGTAAAAAAAAGTTGTCCCGATTGACCTTGTGACATGTGAGGCCCTCAAGAGATATCAAAGTCGCTTATTATTTTTAATCTTATCAAGCAACTGGGGGCGATAATCAAAAGCCAAAACCCGGAAGAAGGTGACTGAACCAACACTGAGGAACTTCACGTCGCGAGGTAAAAACAAAATGTCGGAAAGCTTTTTCTGACGCATGTGCAATTTCACTCTAAATGTCTACACACACACATACTACACACACACGCAAAATGTGATTACAAGAGTTCCTATTGCATTGCATGCATAGGAACTAAAAATCATAAAGTGGTCTGAGCCCTATGAAATTAGCTAAATACCCAAATCCTAATAAAAGCTGAATTTTGCTAACTATTTTCATTTAAATTTAGCCAAAAAGCTAATGGAATTACAGCTATCATTGCTTATAATCTTTTGTATAGGCTAATCAAATTCCTATTTGGCTAATTATTTTCATACCGAATTAGCCAAATTTCTAAAAATGTTTTTTTGGCCAGCTTAAACCCTGGGTCTTGATAATCTGGCTGCTAGATTTATAAAAGATGGAGCTAGCATTATTGCTGTACCATTAACACATACCGTACTAATTTTGTCATTACAATCAAGCATTGTCCCCAATAAACTACTAGAGAGAGTGGTACCCCTTCACAAGAAGAATAATAAAACAGTAGCAGGAAGTTATTGCCCGGTGTCCGCGCGAGTGTTATTATATTAAAACCTTGTATATATTTGTTTGTTTTTTTTTTTACTTTCTGTCTGGGTTTAGAAGACTGTACAGAAATCTGTTTAATTCATTTATCTGATTTTATACATGAATGTGAATGTGCTGAAAGAAATTACACTGACATGGTGGATCATTACAC